TAATATCCGATGGTAACAATAACTGCGATAACAATAATAATAATAACGTAACAACACCGACTATGCCTTTAATGACGTCGATAAATCATGAAAATGATGGAAGACAGCAATATAAAGAAGAAACAAGAGAAAAATGGGTAGAAAAAGAACAATCTACGTAAACTACTAAAAAAAAAAAGATTGTTTCCTCATTCTCGTAATCGACGATTTTCTGTATGGTATCAGAGTTTCATAGAACTCTATAGGAATGTGTTTTGGAATTTTACAACCGGAATGCGTATAGGTACGAGCAGCAGCTCGATCATCACGTTTTACATGATATCAACGTAGCGTTATCGAGTTTGTCGGTTGTTAGAACGTGACGAATCGGGTCGCTGGAATGTTCGATTAGCGAATAGCGTGCTACCACCGATCGGCGACCGCAACACATCGTTAGAGATGTTATCGAGGATCCTGCACGTGCAAAGGCAACCGGCTTGTTACAATCCAACACCAGCGGTGAACGATAATTTCACGGGCCACGATGCCAGTAACTGCGTTTTAGGAGTTTCTTTGTAATTTCTATGACTTTCGTAATCGACTTGCTTCCGCTTTATGTCTTCACACGGCAAGCTTGTGAAGTTTACGAATGAATTTTTATGTAGTTTATAATGTGTTGGATTATCCAAAAAATTAGTAACGATTTCATGATTAATGTGTTCCGTCTGATATTAGAGTAAGTTGGGATTATTTGTTGAATTTCACACAAGGTAAACAAAAACATCGACGTCAATTATCGAAGAATTAGAATTAAATAAATTGTAAAATTGATCAACGAGAAAGAAGTTTACGAATGAATTTTGATAGAATTTATAATGTGTTGGATTATCTAAAAAATTAGTAACGATTTCATGATTAATGTGTTTCGTCTGATATTAGAGTAAGTTGGGATTATTTGTTGAATTTCACACAAGGTAAACAAAAACATCGACGTCAATTATCGAAGAATTGGAACTAAATAAATTGTAAAATCGATCAACGAGAAAGAAATTCGGGATTGGGCCTCGTATATCAACGAAGGGTAGACGAAGAATGTCGAATACTAAGTGTGATGTACGATTCCATCCTATTCGTTATTTTGGGTATAACGTAGATCCACTATCATTTAAAGTAGAACTGCATTTATTGGAAGGAGATGTTAATTATTGTTTGATTAAACAAATTACTGTCGATTGAATTTATTTGTCTGAAAGTAAACTACTATTATACGTCATAATATTCCTTGAATATCATCAAAGGCATATGTATATGAATTCCATAATTCATACTTGGTATCATTTTCATTAAAAAAGCCTTTGATCTCTAAGGGAATCTCATGAAAAGTTTCACTATTTTCATTTCTGTGACACATTAGTAGCTGAGTGGGTCAACCAAGAACGTTTTTCCATGCAAGTAATTCTAGAAATTGGTTATGATTATTACTTCACGACATTTAAACAAGTAGAAATACAAGATACAACGGTTTAGTGGACACTGCTAAACACTATGTTTGACCGGTAGTCATGACTTTGGCAGAATCTTTTATATTAAATTTGCAATTTAGAGTAGAACAGACGTACTTACATAAAAGTAAATGGTATCGCAGAATCGGTTGAAAGTTGAGAAAAGGCGATAAAAAAAGAAATTAAATAGTATAAAAGTTCAAACTCTTATTGCTGTAATCTTTCTTTTGACGTAACGATCCATGCAACCCAGATATACAAAATGGAATTTTCTCCCTTTATTACTAAAATTATACTTTGTGCTTCTTGGTGCTTTGCATATGCAGTTAAAAAAGAAATGTTTTTATTTTACCTTTTTGACTAATAACATGGCTCTGAACTTTTAACTTACTATCATACAGCTAATATTCTTTGTATATAATTTATATCTCTCTATACTTTAGACACTTACTGTATGTGCTCTTGTCTATATTATCCATCTTTTTGAACAAATAGGCATCGGTATAAATAAGATTGCATTTCTCAAGCAATTTCGCGAAAAAAATCCTGGAAGAAACGAGAATTCCCCTCCTTCGTTAGGAAAGAAAGAATTAATTTTGTAAATGTATCGTGACAGTAATAAAGTAGATCATAACGAAACAAGTTTTCTGCCTTTAATCGTACAGGAAGTACCTTAAACTGACACTAATTGCGTGACACATTATATATATTTCTTATTTCTTCGAATCCTAAAGCAAACCTTCAAACTTTTGAACCTAATTTAAACCTAACCCAAATCTTACTATCCTTAGCTTGCCTAACTCTAAATATCTTTTTACAACTGCGTATGTATTAAACAATGTCCTTTTGGAAAATAAATATCTTATATAACTTATAAATAGTGTTATACCATAAATTTGAAAGGCAAAGTATGTTATATGTCTAATTCAAATCACATCAGACCGCGAAAAATCCACGAAACGGTCGGCATGGAATAAAAATATTCGATTTCTTAAACATCTTTTTCCGACAAAAGCGCTCGCAGCCAGAAATGAAATTGGAATTTAGGTATAACTACTCAAGTCGAACTTTCATGCGTTCGTAAGTCTTCTACAGATTTCCCGGCTTACTTTTGAAGCGAAATAAGGAAAAACTTTTGAATAGAAGCCGACGTGTTTTGTGACTACCGTCAAGTCGAGCCGAAGTTTGCAAAATTTTGTACTGCACCAGTAAAATTGCATTGGTTTTATATTTCTCGAGGATCGTACCCAAACTTTCAGTGTGCAAGATGTTTATAACTCGATCGAGTTTGACAGGGCTAGAAACCAGAACAATCGTTTTCACACTAATATTTATCCATTTATAATATGATAGCTCGTCATCGATTTGTCGAGTTGAGAAATAATCAGGACGAAATTGCAGAACGACGAGAAAGCTGAGCGAGAAGCAGGGAGGCGTTAAAAATTTCGTGCTAGTTGCAATAGAAAAACTCGAATACATAAAAGAACAAAAATCACATGAATTTTTTATTACAAATATATTTATCACGAGTATAATCTAAATAACACGTACAGTCAGTCAAAAAAATCTATGTGTATTCATTGAATCGTATGTATCCGATTCATCGACAGAAACGGAGAATCAATTTTTTACACTAAAAAATTACACCAGAAATCATGATCATTTCATCAAATTATTTGGCTAAATTAAATCTGTCTTGTACTTAAAATTAAATCTGATGTATCTTGTTTCTAATATGTGTTATTTCTTTTTATTTATTTTTTTTTAAACATGAGTCTCCATCCAATTAACGTAAAATTTGACATTAAAAATATTGTCAGAGCTGTCTTCGCTATGATATTTCAAATCCAATAGATGTATGTAGACACTGTAAACTTTTGTGACCGACTATACATACATACACATAGGTATACAATAAATCGCAATAACCATTATAGCAAAGTTGAAATTTTAAAAGCGAAACACATAGTCAGCGAGGAAGTGATCCTTACGGGTGGAAAGAAAATTTCGTTGCCTGAACGGAATGTTCTCGAGAGCAACGAAAAGGAGACGCAAGAGGACTTCAGACGGCTCAATTGAATCTTTCTTATTACGCGTAAAATAAAAGCGAGCTTCTTAGGAATGTTCCGTCAGAATACGTATAAAGAATCAAATATTTCGCGCTTGCCGCAAAATCTCTCCTTCCTAGGAAGCGTTTTTAGTCACCGAACAAAGAGAGAGCTCTTTGTGAATTTTCCTGGAGTAAAAAAAAAAAAATTATAATCCGTAGCAAAGTAGGAAAAAGCTACCCTCTATGAAGCCAGTAAATTGGTTGGAAAAGCTTCTAGCTAGTCAGCCAACTGGCATCTCTAACTTTCTGACTTTCGGTTACATACACCGCGCTATTCAATGCCAGTCAACGCGAACCTTCGACTTCCGTTTTATATAGTCTAATTCGTTCAGCCAACAGCGGAACGGTTGGTGATTAGACGAGCGTACACCGACTACCATGCATAAGCAGACAATGAAAAGAGAGAAACACATAGAGAGGAAAACGACCAAGAGAGATATACGAAAGCCAGACGTGCAAAATAACTCGCTGCTTTATTATCGCACAGAAAAAGTCGGAAGGAAAATGAAATTCATCGACGGATGTCCTGCAGACAAACGTAATTCTGCAGATGGCATCTGGTCAATTAGGTTCTAAATGGTACTTTGTCGAATGAAATCTGTTAATGTATTTATTCGAGCTTCTTCTGTGAAAATTTGTTATTAGAGTTTAATATATGAAAAATTGTGCTAAGTGTTTGGTCATGTTAATGTAGGTACCATGTTTTGAAATATTTGCAATTCGATTTAAAAGTCTACATTCATATTACATATATTTTAGGTAAGGTAATAATTGTTCTTGCCAATTCTTAGAAAGATATAGTATCAGGATTATTTGATGAAAATGAGTGATTCCATTTAAAGTATGGAAGATACTATAATTTTTATCGGTAATTTTCTAATCTGAATATCCAACTATATTTCAAATATATTTAGTAAAAAACACACAAACGTCGAAGATGGTCCTACTGAAATCGAGGCTCATTAATATAACGTACAATTAATTTGATATACTTTAAATATTTGTATCATCTCTGTGAAATAAATACTTGTACTAAATATTTTGTGATTTCTATATAGAGTTTTATATTTGTTTCAATTTGTTTATCAATATAATCACGACAGTCGGGTGTCTTTACAGTACTAATAACATTTTTTAATCTTCTGTATAACACATAATATATTCATAAGAGATTTCTACTAATGTTCTAATACTTTTATGAGCCACTGTATGTTACATTAGCTATTTTCTTTAAAATATCGAATGACGTTAAAATAAAGTATTAAAATAAGAAAGGTACTATCTAATTTACAATTCGTACGTCTCTGTGCGACAATGGAGAAACGAGATATTTCAGACGAGCGGCCGCATGTCCCATAATCGAGTATTATGCGTGAAATCAAATTTCCCGGGAATGAAAGGATGCGTACCTTGTAACCCAGATAGGCGAGCAGCAATGCTTCCGTAAGTGATACTATTGCCAGGATCACCTGGACGACCCACAATTCCAATGGCCTTCTCACCCATAAAATCGCGTCCCAGTTGATGGTCGGGTGCTCTTGAAATTCCTCCTCGGTAAGATTCTGGGATGCGAGGAACTCGGTTTTGTTGCCGGGCGTGCAACCGTAACTGAAAGAAAAAAGAAGGGAATTTGCCTTTTTTCCGGATTTTAAAAGCACTACTGATGAAGAGAAACTCGGGCACAAAGCAAATTTTTTAAAAGCGTACGCGCTATAATTTCACGGAAATTTTCGAAAGTAGGTAGTCGACTATGACGACAGGGCAAACTGCTTAATGCACACTGCAATGGTATCTGACTAATTGTACTATGGAATTTGAGAATTTGGAGATTAAATGCGACGAAATAATCCGATTATATATCGAATAGATTAAAAAATAGAGGCAATGTTATAACAATGTTAGTAATCTTTTATTTGTTGTAAAGAGAGAACTCAAGAAACAAAGATCACGAAAGAAGTTAGGAATGCAACGTTGGAAGGAAGAGTGGAGAGATATTGTACGCCGAAGGACGTACGATAAGTAATTTCGTACAGGAAGTAATTTCGGTAACACGACAGATAGAAGATAACGTGGAAGTAAATTGAAGATCCGTAAGAAGGTAAGAGGGCTAAAAATACTTAAACAATATCGCGAATGTCAGATACTTGTAGTAGCAAAATGGTATATCAACCCGCGAAGTCTAATCTCGCTTTCATTTTCGGCTATGATAGCTCGTTCTCCGAAATATCATAATTTCGAATCGGGACTCGAAATAGTTTCCTTCGTCTTCGAGCAGAAATTTTTTCTCATCGTCGCATTGCAGTGAAACATTACCAAGTTAAAACAAAATGAGATAATAGAAAAAATCTTTTCTTTGTTTGTGATACTGTAGAATTATTTTGATTAAAATTTTTTTTACTTGATTGAAGATATATTTGGTAGGAATCTTTTTTCAAGAAAAAGAAAAGAATGTACAATTTTGATATCTTTGCAAGAGATAATTAAGATATAATTAAAATTGATTATATTAAAAATATAGAATTCGTCGTATAAAAGTAATTAATTTCTTCAACAAGCAAAAGGATAATTGTCTTAAGAAAAACTGTAGCATAAACTTGAAACGAGAAATCGACATATACTCATAACGATCCTTTTTATATCGTTCCAATTTTAAGAAAGTTTTTAACGATTGAAAATGCCTGACAGACATTAACACAGAGTTAATTAAAATAACAACATCGAGCTCACCATGCTGCGTAAGTTGGATCGTTGTCGGTGATCACTCTGAATATGTATAAGAAGCATGTTAGTAGCTTGAAGAACAAGTTAGCCAATCGTATCCTCAAACCTGAAACACGAATAATCATTATTAATTGTAAATAAATACAACTGGAAGTAATAATAAAGTGCGATTTGACTTTATAAAAAGTCCCATTTAATATCTTTCTTCTGTAAAATTGTTCTAATTCCATAGTGGTGAAACATTTATTTTAACTTTTAAACGCGCAATTTAGTCGAATCCTTTTATCACGACACGTCAACACGCGATAGGGTAAAGGTACGAGAAAATCGGTAGAATGAATTTGTCACGGATAAAGAATGCCCAGGTGGAAAGGTATCGATATTCACGATCTACAAAGAACAGTTTTTAATCGTCCCTTCGTAGCGTTGTGGAACATGGCAGAGCATCGATCTTTCGTTAGGCATATGGATAGATGCAAACAATCGATACCAAGAGAGATCGAGCAACGATATCGGTGCGACATCCGCTATCTGCTAGTGCCAGCAGCTTCAAAAGATTATGTCTCGCTGCCAGACATCTACATGGTTGTCGGTGTCACGATGGCATGCCATTCCCGAAATTACGTTTCTGGCATGCAACGAGCAACATGTCTCCAAAAAGAATTTCCAGCACCCTGAACTCTTTCACGATCAAAAGCTTGCCGATCTTTTCGAGCGCGTTGATGCAGACAGAATGACCTTTTGCCATCATTCGTCGAGTGTTTATTTTGTCGCAGACATAATATAATGTATAGTGAGTCATAGAATTATTTGCACAGGCGAAAGCTCAACAAGAATTTAGAAATAATAAAATAAAAAACTTTTCGATCATTTTTTTTTAGAAATATAAGATAAGATTCTGTGATAATAAAATCGTAAAAGATATTAAAAAAAAGTTTCAATTTACATGTACGAAGGAACTCATCACAGTTATAACGTAAAAAGAATGCTTGTTTTACTGGGGAAAAGACGTATTACATTTCATATCGTTTGTTAGATTCTCAATTGTGCAAATAATCTTGCAACACACTGCAGATTTGACGTCTTATGAGAATTCGTATCACACGAACTGAAATATTACCATTGAAGAAAAAGGATTAAAGATTTTGTTTTATTTCTTACAATTAGCTTAATCATTGTAGTTAGATCCACGAAAAAAGATATGTCATGTGATGTAGTTCGTTATTAATGGTTGCTTGCAGACAGGGAATTAATCACCCAGTAATGAAAATTTGTGTTTTTATGCTTTCTGTTACATCTTAATAACGTTAATGGCATGGTAATTTCAAGGAAGTAATCGTATAAGCGGAATTGTCGAAGGAGAAAAAATGTCTACTTGATTACGTATTTGAAGTTAAGTAAATAGTAAACAATAGTAGTAGTATGTAACAGTTTAAATGTAATACACTAACAAATTGCTTGACGTTGATATTGTTATTAATGAAGATATTTTCATGAACCAATTTGATGTTCACAGAGAACGAGTTAAGAAGAGTAAGCTCAAAATATGGTATCTTGAACCAATATGTGAATGGATTATATATATGTATTATCTTTTCTCTGAGAACTGGGAACAAACAAATCAAATATTCATACCTGCTCCGGAAAATTTTTTGAGATTTATCACGTTGAAATTCAATAAAATTATACTTCTATTCAAATTTTCGAAATTTCTAATTGTCTAAAAGAAAATTTTTGTTAATCGACACGTAACAATTGTAATAATTAATTTGATCACATTCTGCCCAATGAATGAAGAGACTAGCATATTTCTATTAATGAAATATTCCACAAAAATATTTCATACTACGAGCAATGGAAGAAAAGACAAGCTAAAGCTAAACTATTTTTAGACTATTCTGATAAAAGCACGTTCGCGATCGATCAGTTTTAGATGCTCCGCATTGTGTTACAAGTAAAGTGAAAAACATAACACGATTTACGAGATGACATTGGCGCAATAGGTATATTCGTATGTACCGCTATAACATGAAACTCTGGCGTTAGACCGAAAGGTCTATTTAAAACTGCGACAGTGAACTCTGCCTGCGAATGACGGTATAAGCTATTACATGGCATTTCATACGAAACGTATCAATGCATCTGAATAGAGGACACAAATTTACAAATAGGCTAAATCAATATAAAATATATTTCATCTATTTCATCCAATGGTCTATTTATGCGTTTAACTATTTTGATTTCTATTTGTGCAATTGCATGAAAATATCGGTGAGGTGTTTGATAAATTTTTCAATTCAAATGTTTTAATCCTTTACATTTTGAGGATTCTTTATCATTCTTTTCCGATTCTTTTACAGCCGATTAATGATACTACTATCTTTTTGCGATTAAACTTTTTGGAATCAAACTTTACGTTTCGAAAAGAACAAGGTTAGAAATATTTCTGAAATATCTACGAATTTATAATTTATTCATATACGTAGTTTAAAGGATCAATTTATCGGTTATTGACTTAAATATATAAAAACTATACTCGGTATACTTACTCGAACGTTGATTTTTGATGAAGTACAGCTGAAGTCGTTCCTTGAACGTGTTTTCGTTCACGTAATATTCAACACGAACTCTGTAAAGAAGAAGAAATTAAAATTACCACTTGATGTTTCATAGGTTAAGTAATTCTAATTATTGAAAACAAATCCAGTATTATGTACAGTATCGAGATTAATAAATTTTCAATTTTATCCGTTTGATGTCACAAGCTCGCAATTGTTAATGCCATTTTTATTTAATATCATCTTCTCACATCTCAAAACTTGATATCTTAACGCCTTAAAGGCAGGACAATAATGAATCTCTTGACCTAGGTCAATCTATAGCAAAGAGGTTATGGAATAGTATTTTTTCATAAGTAAAAAAGTATTAGCTGTACCAAATTATAGCAAGGTTCCTTCGACTCCTAATATCCTCATAAATCGTATAACGCTAAACAATTCCTCTGGGAGTGGTAAACTTTTCCAATCCAACTTATTCAGCTAATCACGAGTCGAAATATCGTTGAATGCAGCGTGGAACAATCGCAGTTCGGTGGATTTCTATGAAACGCATTCGCGTCGAAAGTTCTCACGAGGCAGCGTGCTGGTTGTTCTCATTATTAAGCAACAGCACTCCTATTATCGTTTGTTAAATCAAAATCAGTCTACCAGACAAATGGTTCGCATTACTATTGCAACAGCGACCGTCTAATAGCCTAATCATTTCCACCGAGAGACGTAACTCCGATTGGTAGTTATTTTTCAGTCAGTTGAACGATGCGCCGCGATTTTACAACGTCGCGTGTCATCACTGGATGAACATCGACGACAACGACCATTCGCACGAAACAGGCTCTTGAATCGATCGTCGATCAAGGGATGTTCACGCGGAAACCTTTGTGCCTTGGAGAGTCATGCTGCAAGAGCGTGGTTGTACTTTCGAGTGTAATCAAGCGAACGATGGCGTGAAAAGAATTCCATGTTATAGTCGGGGCAGGGTTACGGCTTTTTGCCGCTTTTCGAGAGTTCTTCATTTGAAAAAAACAGGAAGTTTAGGTTTTCAGGAAGTTTAATACTCTGAGAGTCTTTTGCAACGTTTGTTTGCCTGAGGTGAATATGCGATTATTGTAATTATCGTTGGAATATGTTTTGTGATATCTCCAGTTTAGATATTCTTCTCATTTCAGTTGTGTTATTTGAATTATTAATTTTTAACGAGATTATGGTTTCTTAGAGATTATCTTATGGATCTCTTAGAGATAAACGCCACGAAGAAAACGTCGTAATTTCAGAAAACGAAATTACGAATGTGGTGCGTGCAACAGGGACAATGAATAGATATAACATATATCACGGTATAGACGTTAATAACATGGTAAAGGAATATATAGTATAACAATTACCAATGCCCATAATGTATTTAAGCTCTTACTGAAAACACTTTTGAGATTTTTACTAGAGTTAAATTCCTTTGTCTTACGTAATTTTGGAGTAACGCGCGTGATAATGAATAATTTGTAACAATGTGTAATGAAAAAACAAAATATGACATGATATTATATGAGATAGAGATATGAATAAAATTATAATTTTATGTGATCATAATATTTAATTACCATTGTAACAACAGCCGTGTGAATGTCTCTATGTAATTTAAATACACATTTGTTTCATCTAATAAGTATCATAAGTCTATCATAAATTTATACATTTTTACATCTTTAAATTTCTCATAAATCCATAAACATCAATAGTGTACAACAAATGTAGGAATCGTAATTATTTTGCAATCGAAATCCCAACGCTGATTGATTTGACAGAACAATTTTCGCCATATAGCTTAAGCTGTATTGGTTATCGTATGTTTCACTCGCTTACAAACCTATAACTGACATTTTGGAGGGTCTCGGAGGAGGTTCCATTTCCTTGAAAGCGTCCTCGAGGATTTGTCAACTAGCACGACGTTGTCGAGGACATATTTATTATAGCACCGTTGAAGCTTCGCGAAATTAAAACTCTCGATGATATCAATTTTCATATCAATTACAATTTTTCGTATCATACACTTTTTAATATCTCATATATTCAATTATTTAAAATACAAAAGTATCGTGAAAGTTGACCATCCAGATGGAACTATCTCTTACACCAGATTCAGCTTTGATATATGCTTCAGTCGATTCAATTTCGTTCAATCTCGAAGCGATCCACAGATTTCAGCTATACGCACGGTGTCAAAATTTGAATAATTCATTAGACACCTACGTCAAAATAGCTTCACTCTCGGCCAAACTCATCATTTACAGCATTATGCAAATTGTACCAGTTACAGGTTTAATCTCGTACATTCAGCACTTCATTTCGATGCATTTAAACATCTACCTTGTCAACTTTTGTATTCTCGATATTTCGCTTATTTCAATGTCAGAATCTTTCTACTTTTTTTTTTAATGGTTTTACGAGACCATCAGAAAGATAGGCGAACTCATCGACTCCACCTTCTATAAATTTTTCAGCTTCATTAGCCGAGTAGGTGATTAGTGTCTAACTTCTAGAAATAAACAACTCAGTTACTTCCATTTCATAAGTTTATTCGTTGCAGGCGATATAAATCGCAAGCTTTCAGGTAAGTTTTAAGAAATATTTGTAACTAACATTTTTCTGCTTTTCAATTTATGGAGTTAATCAATATCGCTACTGAACCCATATATTACGAGCGATAGCGATACGGGCATACTTTGTGTTTCGTTCTAACTTTAACAGGATACCTGGTCCCACTTATGGCAAGATGATTAAGTATTAACAGCAATGAAACGTTTTTTTAAAAGTATTGTAACTTTGAACGTATAAGAACGAATTTATTGATCAAATTGCACCAAGGATCTTCTGCACGATCGAATTAATTTACAAACTCTTTATTTAAGAAATTTACAAACTTATAAGTAGCACAAATACACTAATATCGCTAACTTATCGTGCTAGTGCTATAATGTATATATAATTTAACTTGAAAAAACTGCTTACGTTAGTCTGATTCTCACGTGCAAAATTACAGCAAAAGTTCCTGACAAGATCTATTGGTTGAGGTATGGGTGTGACTAACCATGTGAAATATGCCCAGAGAAAACGTGTGTGAGCACGCGCGAAATCGGAAACGGAAAGCTCGTGCGCCGTTGCACGCTTTCGTTCGTGAACGTGCACTACCTTTGTGCCGAAACTTTCAGTTAGATTGCACCGCGTGATGCATCGGACATCGGATATCCTCAGGCGAACGAATCCGGATTAGTCAGTCATGTGTGATATCATAGCGAATTGAAGGCGGCTTAAAGGCGCGTACTCAAAACACCGTTCGCAAGATGTTCGCAAACTTTTTATGACGATTTTGCGATGTTTTTTCAAACTTTGCTTATATTAAATTCACGAGATGTTTATTTTATTATATGTCAGCGACGACCTATTTTTAAATACTATCGAGCTCAGTTAGTTTGGTGTTATTTAGTTTTGGAATAGTTTGACAGGTAATTATTAGACTGCGCAAAGCAAAAGAGAGTTATGGACGCTTAAACGATTTGCCTATACACAATATTTCCTACCATTGTATCAAAAGTTCTAACACATATTCTGCATTGTGTAAAAGTCCACCTATTAAATTTTCGTTTTTACGAATGAATATGATATTATTTCGAATCTGTTACACTAGCTCGATTCGTGTTTAATTCAAGAATTATTAGTAATTTGCTCGAAAATATCGATTAATATATTATTTCTATTAGCTTTTGGTCGTAAAAATTTCGGTTTCAAAAATGTATATTTCGTGAACACATTCGCGAATAGTAGATATGGAAGAAGATGACAAACAGATAAACTATTCGTGAATATCAATGACTGTGCGTTATAATTTCTTCGTAGCCATAGTGATCAATTTTATCGTTTATTTTTTTAGCCATCCATATACATTTTCTATCGTGCCGTTCGCTTGATTTATCGGTTGGGCAACGACAACTTTTTTTTCTTATTGTTCGCGGGACGGATAAGGAGCTTGACAGAACGATGAAGATAACGTTTGGACGGTGACGGCGTGAAAGTGCGAATAAATCGTTCGTTAGGTATATCGGCTATTTCTTTGTTTTTTGCCTGAATGTGAATAACGAGGATGGTGGCTTGATAAATTTTTGATGGCGATCGATGCCGAGAGGGCTGACCGTTTACGTGGAAGTATATGAGTTATTTGTTTTTGAGGCGAATGTTGTGACTTTATATTATAATGCTTTCGTTTAAAGTGGATATTAGCAGCTATTTTGCTGGCCATACCACTGTCCGTATGAACATCCTGTTCATATTCGAAATGGGAGAATAATTTGTAGAGATTTATCGTTTCCTGTACTGTTCAGGACAAAAGTTTTCTTACATATCTGTTATACATTTTTCAATTAAAATATTATTATAGGCATAATATTATATTATTGACTGGACACGTATCCTAATATGTTTAGGACACGGTTAAAATCACCGTACAACGTTGTCAAAGCTTAAAATCGATAAAGTGCTTAAGTAGCTCAAATATTATTACTACAATATTATTACAAACAGATAATTAAACGTATCATTGTACGAAAAAAGTTCTTAAATAACATACAATCAGAAACGAAGGTACTGTGCGAATACTTTTGTCTTCACTGTGTCGATATACATACATATATATGTGTGTATTTTATTCAAATAGATGATGTAAAAATAACAGCGAAAACAGCGATTAAAGCTGTGTCATATTTCTTTCTAAATGCTCTATCCACCTCATAAATTATTTAGTTAGTTAACTCCTAAATAGCGAGAATCTGAAATTAAATGCGTGCATACCTTGGTCCGTCTCACTTTTTAATGGTGGGAGATCCAACCACTTTGAATAGGTAAACCGTAAACTAATCATCCAAATGCAGCATTCCAGTAGCTCAAAGTCCATTTGTCGATATTTAATTAAAATGTGGTTAGAGAATTTAGAGCGTTGACATTTCCAGTATAATTGGAGTCGCCGAATTGATTCGCAACCAATAGGACTAATCTGCATGCGCGAGTGATTTCTAAAATTCCGATG